CTGTCATACATTTAAACGTTGGTTTTTTTTAAATCGGATAAAAATTGTGACCTCTAGAGGGTCCACAAGATAAAAATGTGACTTTGCCTACAATCAGAGGCCATAATCCAGGAAGTAACTGTCTGATCTGCGCAAATATCGGACCGTAACTTCCTGAATTATGGCCCCTGATTGTACAAAAAATCGCATTTTTAGCTGGTGGACCCTATAAAGGTCACAATTTTTATCCGATTTAAAGAAAACGTGTGAATATAACACCATTACACCCTAAGGATGGTTAAGTTCGAATTTTGTAAAAATCGGACTGAAACTGACAGACAAAATGGCCCCCCCTCGTTCCCAAATAGTGTCAAAATATTGTGTATCGGGGTTGTGGACCTGATTTTCGTACATATCGAATTGTAACTTCCTGAATTATGGCCCCTGATTGTACAAAAAAATAAAATTTTTAGCTTGTGATTCCTCTAGAGGTCACAGTTATTATCCGATTTAAAAAAACGTTTCACCGTAATGTTGGTTGAGTTTGAATTTTTGAAATCGGGCTAAAACTGGCGGACAAAAAGGCCGCCCCTCATATACGCAAATAGTGTAAACATCTGGTAAATCAAGGTTGTGGACCCTCTAGAGGTCACATTTTTGATCCAATTTTGATGAAACTTGAAATACATGTTTATAACCCAAAGATCTTAGTTCCTTTCGATATTCACACATATCGGATTGTGACCCTTGAGTGTACAAAAAAATCATGTTTTTGGCTTGTGGTCCCTTTAGAGATCATAATTTTTATCCGATTTAAAAAAAAAAATGTGTGATTATATCACCGTTACAAACTAAGATATTGGTTCCTTTTGATAATCGTGCATATCCGATCGTAACTTCCTGGATTATGGCCCCTGATTGTTCGAAAAATCACATTTTTTTCCCCCGATTTTAAAAAACGTTTTAATATTTCACCATTCCACCATAGTGAAGGTTGAATTTGAATTTCGGGCAAATTGAAATGAAACTGCCCAACAAAATGGCCGCTCTTTGTATGCAAATAGTGTAAAAGTATGTAATAGGTCACAATTTTTATCCGATTTTGATGAAACTTCAAACCATATCTATTCTTTATATCCCACAGATCTCGATCCCTTTTGATATTTGCGCATTTCAGACCATAACTTTCTGGGTTATTGCCTCTGATTGTACAAAAAATTGCATTTGTTTTTAGCTTATTCTCTATCCATCTCATGCAAAATGTGGGCATAACTTGCCTGGCAGCCGCTGGTTTACTTATTTAGTAAAATCTCTTGCAATTTTTATAGCTTTACGCTTTGAAATAGCCATAGTTAAGTAGTTCGTCTTAACCGAAGAAATCCATTTGAAACTTACGAAGGCTCAGATTGGTATATTTTAATGTTTGTCTTTACAGATGACAAAGTGAAGATAAGAATATTGTAAGGAGAAATGAGTGAGAATTAGGAGAGAGAGAGAAGTGGAGATGTCGCAGGCTCTCTCACCAAAGTCTCCCAGAAAGGGGAAACACATCAGTTTACGAGTCATCTTTCTTGATGATCTCGTCCATGCATTTCAATGTCCAGTAAGTTTGTTTATTTTATTTTTATTGGCCATTTGCGAGCCATGGTTGATCACTAAACAGGAGGTTTTCCCTTGCCAGTGGTGGAGGATGGAAGGCCTTGCAAGGAACAGAGTCTATTTGTCAAAGGCTTGTTTACGTGCATGGACCTCTTTTTAACATTCCATCTGAATGAAAAACATACATGTATGATCTGTCATTGAGTCAACTGGTGTGGTTTCGATTCCCCGTTTGTACAGGTACGTGACAAGGAGTACGATCGCCTGTCCAACCTTGTTGGTTTTCTCCGGGTCCTCCGGTTTCCTCCGGTTTCCTCCCACTGCTAAAAACCCCTGCGCGCAAGCGAATTATTGAAATAAAGTTGAACCATGTGTTAGTCCCGAAATGAACTAATTTGTGTCGAATGAACCTTAAGCCCCATTTGTCTCTCTCTCTCCTAATGAAAAGCCACACACTTTTCTCATTGGCATCTAATACAATAGGCCTACTTAGATTTTCTTTCACCAGAATTACATTGATGGTCGGCAAACAACTGATTGGATAATAAACTTGCAAGGAACAGCGTATAGTCATTTAGATGGAACAAAAAAATGACTGCCAAGGGTTCTTTTATGTGCATGCTAATGTTTTCAGTAGTGGAACTCTTTTAGCATCCCATCATTCTGAACATCTGAGACACGCTAAATGCGGAGAAGTATCTCAGACACAGTCAATAGCCATGATATCCATATCACGTGATCTACACATCACAGGTCATGACATTGACGTCAATGGGTCATGAGGTCAACAACACGTTACATTGTAAACAATAGGTTTTTCTTCAGCATTGTGTCCTTTGCACCCATAAAGACTATATAATTCGTAGTCCCAACGTGTTCTCTCTTCTTCCAATGATTTTTCACAAAAATAACCTCTACATCTCATAGAATTGACGTTGTCTTCAATGACAGCGTCTGCGAATGGTTGTTCATATAAGCTGCCATCTTGGCACTATTTTGTGCGTCGGTCGTGTCTATTTCCGATATACACAATCAATTCTGTTGATGTTTTTTGCGTTGGGATTGACTAATAGTTAATTTATTTCAGTTCTAAAACAAATATTTTAAACTTTAACGCAAATTTAGAAAATAGCCAAATTCTGGCTGAGATTACTGAGCAAAATGGCCATTCACTGTATACGTGCGAAAAAAAAGCTAGCCACCAATTAATTTTCGTACGTTAGTTACGTACGAGCATCCCATCTGAATGAAAAGGCACACTCTTTCCTCATTGGCATTTAATACAATATTTAGGTTTGGATTCACAAAAATTACAACTGATTGGGATCTGAATTGATTGAAAAAAAAAAAAAAAAAAATAGTTTGGCATCTCGTGGGTACTCGCATACATAGCATTGTTTTGATATAAATTAGTTTTAGCACCTCGTGGGTACTCGCATACATAGCATTGTTTCAAAAAACTATCATTGATCTTAAGCCATTCAAAAATTAAGTACCTTCATAACGCCTATATATATAACGAACTAAGCACTGTGGGTATTAAGTTCCTAAGAATCCCATGACGTCACCAAATCGACCAAGAGAAAATCGACCAACATCGTATTTGTCCTATACCCTGTTCCAGGCACCCCACGGGGTCCCCAGGTTTACCCTGGGTAACAACTCATTATGACTAGTTTAGTTGCTCCATTTTTAATTTCAAAAGGACAAGAGATATTCTCTGATTAAACATTGGCACATGATAGTGTTGAAACTACTATTCGGATATTCGTTAACAGATACAAAATAAGGGTTATCCGAATCATTTTACTATCCGTTTACTATTCGTTACAATATATTCTGACATTCCGTATGCTCTATATTTAGCCATTTTAAACATTTTTGGGGATCTCGCTGGCTAAGTGGGTAAGACGCTGGCTCGCTAGCCTGGAGGTCGGGTGTTCGATCCCTGCATTGTCCGAGAAAGTTCATTCAGATTTCCCGGCGTGGTTCCCCCTTGTCAGTGATGCAGGATGGAGGGCCTGACAAGGACAGCTGTCTAGTCCTTCGGATGAGACAAAAAACTGAGGTCCCGTGTACACATTGGCGTACACGTAAAAGATCCCTTGACAGTTGGAATTCGATATAAGAGTAGGCCGTAGTGCCGCTGTCCGGGCAAAATTTCCCCTCATAGCACACTGTATGGCGTATGCCCGTCTTCATTAGCCCAATTCGGAGCAGAACAGTAGGATGTTAAACCCCATTTCATTTCATTTTTAAACATTTTTCCATCTGATTACTTTGAAATTTTCCCCAAAGCAATTGATCACGTACGCAGCTCTGACTCAGAGGATAAATGTCAACATTATGCGTATTATTTAGTGATAGTAACTAATAAAATTATTAATGCAGTGCAACGAAAACAGTACAAAGTAGTCTAAATAAAAAAAATATTCATTCATTCCCTGCGTTTACGGCATACGAGTTTAGACCGTGTTTTTACTTCCCACAATGAAATTTATTCATAACGACCTAGGTCACGTATATTCCCACTCACTGATTGGTTCAATAGTAGTAGATTATCAGAATGAGGCAAACAACTTTGGCGGAATAAATGGCACATGTTTTTATTTTACTTTTTTCATTCGTGTTGATTGAGCAAAATGATAAGTGGGAGGGTGCGGATAACAGGAGTAGTTATACTATACAAATTCCTTCACCTCATTGATTTTTTGGGATGTCATAGATAGTTTTAATAATTACGGCTAAAGGTAGGCACGTTTTTTTCCTCGCGGCTCAAACAATTTGCAAATCGAAAGTACAATTTCATACTCGGCATACACAGACACTCATAAACATTGAAACAAGTAAGAAATTATGAGTACTGGTATATGAATTTTTGATGGAATTTCACGTCTCCGAATTATCCGAATAGTATTCGGATAGCAAACAAAAGTATTCGGATCACAAATCTCGATCCGATTTTCAACACTAGCACACGGACACAACACAAACACTGACATTGCAATCCATTCTATGTAGTCATAAAATACGCTTTCCATGCTTTATTTAATAAAAACAATGCAATAAAAACATTAAATACACTGTAACTATCACGCAGAGGTATGTTCCCCTGTTGTTCATGTGACAATAAGGTAAAATGGCTTCCGACAATGTCCTGCCGAAGTTACATTCATCTCAACTTAACCATAAATCTCACATATTGGAACCTTTTGGATTTAAAGATGGATAAGCCATGACTAACGATGTAGTAACAAAGTGTCGCTATTGTTACGCTGATGTTTCCTATAAAACTGGGAACACGTCTAACATGGCAACACGTGTAAAACGCCACCATCCACAAATAAACATCGATGTCACTCGTAAGAAAATGAAAAAAAAAAATACCCACCTCCCCCCCCCCCCCCCAAAAAAACCCCAAACAAATGCGCATGAATAATGAACATTAGATTTATGCAAATCTTTCAAGTGAATATCTATATCAGTTTATTTTTAGATATTAATTGATTTTCTAGGATGAATTTTAATAAATATTTCATTTTGAAACAAAAAACAAATCAAATTCTTTTAGTTTTAATTGACGCTGAAAATTTATTCGAATTTGAATATTAAGATATTAATTACTCACACAGATCCATTTATCTTTCTTGTATTTTAATATATTTTCCATAAGGAATACATGAATGATTATCAATATAGTAAAATAATTTCTTATTAAACTTTAGCTTATGAAATACTGTATATTTGTTTTAGTTCTTGTATGATATAAAACACAGCGTTGTCTTCGTATCCCGATATATTTCCCTCAATAACACTATACTGAAAATATCGAGCTACCGTTTGCAAATTATAATGGAGTCTAGAAATCTCTCCTGCGGGAATTTTTTGTAATGTGTCATAAATATTGGGATACGATTGGATTTTGTCATATGCTGGGAGGATGATGGTAAAATCTGTGTAATTAAACTGCCAGTCAAATGGATAACGAACTTGATATTTGTTGAAGTAGTGAAACAACACAGGAATACATCCACTTAAAATTGCATCATAAAAAGATTTGCGTGTTGGAGAGTCACCAGGGGGTTGAAGACAGAACACTGAATGTAACATCCATGGAATAGTTGTGTTTTTATGGTTACCAAGGCATTCACTTGTCACAAGCATCACTTGTTTAACACTAAGATTCTGATCTGAATTATAAAATTCCTGGTAACTGTCTTTAGTCTTCGTTTGAAACTGATCAATTAAGTGAGACCGAAAAGTATTGGAGCGTCTTTCACTAGCAGCCAAAAAAATGAAAACATTTCGTTGTTTGATCGATGGTGTCACAATCCTTGAAATGTTTTTGGAATTATAATGAATGTATGATGGATAAGGGGCTACGATTATCTTTTGTTGTTTTAATCCAAGATAAATTCGAGATCCTTTATTTGCTTCCTTCTCAATACCAATAAATGTTAATTTTCGACTATGTTTGTTTTTCAACAATGAGCACGAACTTGATGTCTGCTCACGTTCAATTTTAGCTAGAGTTGAAAAATGTGGTTTCTGTTCTTGAAACGGTTTCTGCATCTGAAGATGCTTGTACATATCGTTCACAAGATTTGACACTTTATGAGATGTTTGATCACAGAAGCAAGCTAGCCCCATGTAAGCAGGCACATAAAAAATATCTGCTTCAGAAATATTAGTTGTGTGTAAAGAACTCTTCAGAAGTTGTTGATGAATAATAACCTCGAGTGAAAATTGATTTGAATCCATCACCGCGAATCCATTTGTCCTGAACAACAATTTTCCCATACCATTGTTTGTCAAATCGAAACAACCACGATATGCACCAGAAAGCGATAGGCACTTGATTATTTCATCGTTAAACTTTCTTGGCAAAGTATAAATGTAAAGTTTTAATGGTTTCTGTGAAATTAACATTGAGGGTTGGTTTTTTTTGTGCTTTTCTAAGGGAGTACCACTTAAAATTACTTGATCACTGTCCTTGTATTTATTTAACTTTTCTGCCGTCTGGTGTTTTGTTATTTGGGGAGTTTTCTCCGTTTGGTATTTGATTGTCTTGAATATTGTGGATACTTCAAGTGAATCAATATCTGTTACTTGAATAAAACCTCTTCCATTCCTTACAAATAAAAGCAGAATTATCATGAGATAGTAAGGAGAAAAAGAAATGTTATGAAAATCAGCCCTGAACAATATTCTAGACTAAAAGACAAATATGGACCATACATAAGCAGTCACTCCCCATCCTCCCAAAATATTTTTGTCAAATAATGAATAAAATCGCTTAATCCTAACATATGTTACATGTATGGCCATACTTTCTATTGATTTCATGTTGCCATCTACATCATATCTTTCCGTTCATTATTGATGTATAACTCATTTCTGTGACACCAAGCTCAGATACAATCCTTTTGTTTTAATTACATGTATCTAAATAAACACTTTTTGATCTTTTGGATTTCAAAAGCAGATTTCTGTTATTTAATCTATGCATGTAATCTAAATTATTTTTTACCTCATTGTGAAATTTATTGTCCACAATATAGAAACTATGGTTACCATTGATACAGTAAGAAAACCATAACAGAGCCATCTTTGTATTTTCTTTAGACCGAAAAAAGACATCTTTCATTTTCGTAATTTCATCATAATTGAACATCTACTTCCTTGAAGTCTAAAAAAATGAAAATAATCAATACTTTACAACAGAAATTGGAGACTATTTATGAATTACAATAGGCCTATATCAGATGGAACTTGCCAAAAAGGTCATGAAATTGTATGTCATGTACATGTACAAGTTTGTTTTAAGTGTGCAGTGGGTTTGTGGAAATGGTTATAGAGTCAGAAAACCTGGAAATATCAAAACGGTAGCAATTTACTAAGAAGTTGACAATTTAAAAAACACAAGATCTTATTTCTGTTACACATGTAAATCCAAACCATGACAGCATGAGAGTCATGCTGACATGCACCTAAAAAAACCTCTGGTACATGTAGGTGTGTAATACATGTATATTCATCTGCTCTGATGACCAGCTTCTGTCATGTCAGTTTATTTCATTTTTGAAGTGTTTGACATGGGTGGTGAAAGAAACCTATCACATGTTACCTGTGTTCTACATTTATCAACTGGATGATACATGTATATGTTGTGAATACCGTGTTACAATCTGTGCCTCATGATACAAGTAATATATTATCTTGCGATATTGAAGATGTACATGTATTAATATATTATAAGTTGATTATATCCCATGATTATATAGAGGTACATATATCAATAGATCTACTATTGATTGGAATCTTATTAACTGCAATAATGAAACTAGAATTGCTAGTATGTGATGACGGTGGTTCATCAGTGCCCTTTAACTATTAAACTATGATTCTTCAGGTGTTTTATTACTTTTAAATAGTCATAAGCAGCACAGTTCAAATATTAGACGAATGTCATGGCCCATGACAAGCTCCTAGTTGTGCACTTTGCCTATCTATGATCAGAGCTGTAGTTATTCAGCGCCTTCACGCAAAGTCACGCGGTATACACATGGTCTTTGTTTATTTCCTCTGCTAAATTTAGATAGCCATGACTGGCCAAATCTTATGTTAGTATTCCAGCCACCTTGGTACCATCAGAGCATGTGTTTTCCCCAGCAGGAAATGTAGTTACACAAAAAGATCAAATCTAGATCCCGACACAGTCTACCATCTAATATTCTTACATGAGATTTTAAAAGATAAAAAGCTGTAGCTAGTTTTAGACAGTAATCAATTAAAACTTGTTGTTTGAACAGTTCATGTGTGTTTCCTTCATATGGTGCCATTTGTTACGATTTGTTATATAACACTTTTTGTGGTAAAGTTTTACTTTCAACGGTTTGATTATTTTGAGCCGACCCCAGTCTTTCCAATGTCGGCAGTCTGATTCGGTCACGGGTTGTATCTGACGAAATATAAAAGGATGGATCATTTCAAATAAATTGGTTCAGATAAATAAAGTTTTAGAAAACTTATGCAATGATTTTTCTTGTTATTTAGATAATGTTCTAAAATAAAACTATTCTGGGTATAAAAGTTTGACGAAAGCCTTCTCCCTCTCTGCATACGGCCATATTTATTCTTCAAAATGATGGCGTGATCGTTTGATAGGTCCTGCATTAAGCTTATTAGTGACAATGAAAATATAGGTTATTAAAAAGATTAGCATTGCCAAAAGGATGTCTAATAGTAATAATTCAAATCATATTTGAATAATTATCTTATGGTTTATTAGCCTTTATTCGCACAATAGACAAATTTGCATGCGCTTAAAACGTCAAAACTAAGTTTTAAATTACACACGAATAGTCCGAATATGTTTGGATAGTGCAGACGGATAGCCGAATATCAAAATATGCCCAGAGTTTCAACACTAATGATGACATCACTTCCTTTATCAACAATATGGTAAAAGTAGCTAAGTCTGTAACTCAGTATCATCCAAAGTCTTTGACATTGAAAACAAAAATTCTTTTTCAATTTAAATCAACATTGATGTTGTGATCTTATTGGGAAAAGATGGGCTTCTCATATCCAATATTTAAGACAAAATAAATCCAATATTTAAAGACAAAATAAATCCAATATTTAAAAGACAAAATAAATATTTTACCATTGGTACACGAATCATATCAGAAATTACACAGGTTCAGGGCCATGAACAGGCTTTTTGTGCGTGACATGCATGAGCTCTATAAAAGAAATCATAGTAAACTTTCAAGCTGACTTCCATTAGATTCCAGAGAGGTTCCATCTGAGTTCCTAGACAGCCGCGAGGCTGGCTAGGGTGGAGAAATGGTTTTAGCTAGTATTGTAATCTGTGCTATGCTTGTATACATGTATTCGGTTATGCTATATAAAATGTAAAAACGAACTGTTGCATTGTTATAACTGAGAAAGACAAACGTCTTAAGAAACCAGTAAGAAGCAAACACACAACGTGAAGGAGAAGCAAAGACAGCTAGAGACAAATTCTAGACGATTACAAGGCTACAGAAATATAATGTAGTAAGAAAAGATGCATGGGTCGTATGTAGGATGTGGTGACCGGTTTTCCCGCCCAGCTCTATGTTGCTTAACGTCCTACTGTTTTGCTCCAAAACTGGGCTAATGAAGACGGTCACATTAAATAGATGAATAGTCCAATGCAGATTTGAAACAAACAGCATTGCAATTTTATACAGAAGAAAATTTCCATGTTCCCCAATCCAATTTGATATTTTATTAAAATTCACATTTCATAACCTTTTTCAGACCTTAGACAGTTACATTTCAAACCGGTACGTAGAAGTAATTCAAATCATCGGAGAAGATTTTTTGCAAATGCCGAATAAAGTGAATGTTTCGAGAAAGGAATACACTACCGAAAAACTTGATAAAACGTTAGCTATTTCCTAGTGTGAATAACGTCCATCGATAAATGTAAACATTTTGTAATACTTTGAGAAATAACAACACTACTGCTACCGTATAAAAATAAGATGCGAAAACCGATGAAAGGCTTGCGGGGAAAGCATGGCGAAACATGGTGGATTCCTAACAAAACACGGTGGATTCCAAGCGAATCTTCCTGAAAAATTGCTGTTGGAATCGACCGAAAAAATCACCGTGGACATGTAATCAAACTTATTCTAAGAGATTTCTTAGCGTTTTTTTTTTCTGTGGAGACGAACTGTACTTCCAAAGACATCTGTGCTCAAGCGAACCTTTTAAATAATAATATACCTTAATTCTCTTATTGACATTGCTTGTGTCAAATTGACTTTAAAATATGACGAAAATATGACTAAATTTCTAAACCCTAAATATAGTTACAATTGATTCAACAAATATAATCCCTGTAATTCTCTCTTATAAATATTTTAAATCGTTAAAGTTTTTAAACAAATGCACACAAGATGAAAGACAACAATGTTTTTTCCTCATAGTCAAATCACATCCTACATCTCTGTAAAAAATACTGTGCATCTCGAAAACAAGCCTGCTTAAACACCCATCTTGTTTGTGTAATTATTACAGCATGTTAGCAAGATTATAAATAAGATGATAAATAACATCATGTGAACAAACCTGACTTCATTTACTGCTGGTGACAAACTCTGTCGAATTACTAAAGAGAACAGTATTTGCGTTTGCATCATGTGGTTTATTACCGTTGTTATTGTAATAAATCATGTTATATCTGATCGCACGACTGTGTTCTTTAGTGGATCTAGTTAATTTCAGAAATTTCATATTTCTTTAATTCTCAAAACATTAAATTGCAAGTAAGGCATAAGCAAACTTTTACAATATAATGTCCATCTTCAATCGGTTTATGCTTGAGGCAGGATATTTCAGCTTATTTATAAGATTACATGTAAATTCTTTTCACTGAGTCATACAAGATTAACTTGTAAAGCACACATGCTCCATTTAGAATAAGGTGGTTGGGTGGCCGAAGGGTTAAACACATGCACAATAGTTCATAAGTTCTGTCACTGAGTCAAGTGGCGTGGTTTCAATTCCCTGCTTGTACGTGTAGGAGTAGGGTCGCCTGTCCAACCACATGGATTTTCTACGGGTCCTTTGGTTTCCTCCCACAGCTATATATATTCTTCTTATGTCTATGTTCTATTTATTAAGAAGACTACAGTTTTGTAACATGTACATTAACCACCAAGCTGTTGGCCAGTATATATTAAACCTGGATATATTGATTTTGTGGTTTATAACCTCACAGATGTTTTTGTCCCCTGCCTTTGGAAGAAAGCAGGGGGCTATTAAAATAGTTCTGTCTGTCTGTCCTTCTGTTTGTCTGTCACAATCTTTGAGACACAATAACTTTTCTTCTAATTGAGCTAGAATGTTCAAATTTGGTATAGGTGTTTATTAGGTGAATGTATTGATGGAGTTCGAAGATGAGCATTTTCCGGCTATTCGGGGGGGTCACAGTGGCTAATCGGGTGTTCAATACCTGCATTAGCTGAGAAAGTTCATCCAGATTTTCCAGCATGGTTCCCCCTTGTCAATGATGCAGGATGGAGGGCCTGACAAGGACAGCTGTCTAGTCATTCGGATCGGACGAAAAACCAAGGTCCCATGAACACATTGGCGTGCACGTAAAAGATCCCTTGACAGTTGGAATTTGATATAAGAGATTGGTCAAGACTTTGGAATATAACAACTCTGCTTTTAATTGAAGCTAAACAGAGCTAAGAAATTTCATTGGTCAATGCTTTGGGACAAGATAACTTTGATTCTAACTCATGGAGAGTGATGAAACTTAGTGTATAGTTTCACTACCAGGCACTTCAAAAGCTGACTGAGTTTGATAGTGAACATTTTATGCTTAGACAAGCATAGATAATCAGTTTGATTACTCAATACTTTTGAAAAAGATAAATGTGCAATTAATTAATGTGTCATCTGTTTATTTGGGGATTTTGGCTTGTGACTTTCAAAATCTTAATAATAGGCTTATTCGTGATAGAATTGTATGCAGCACTCGAGATAATGCAGTTAGGCGTAAACTTCTCCAAGAATTTCTGGCTTGCTTAGAAACACAATTTCACTACAAGGTCCTTGAAGCTAAACAAACTATGTATTTTTGGTAAGCTTATAACACCAGGGCCCTGTTTCACAAAAACTTAAATCTCCTTAAAATCGTCTTAAACTAAAATTCCATCCTAACTTAGGATAGATGCGTTTCACAAAACGATTTTAAGCATTTTAGATAAAATCCACTAAAATAATATTGTAAGTTAAAATTCTATCTTAACTTTTATTAAAATAGTGGCGTTTCATAAAGCTATTTTAGGGACAATTTTAACTAAAATCAATTTTAACTTAGGACAGCCGTCACCCTCTCCTAACTTAAAATCACGACATTAACAAACATTGATTAGAGCTACGTTGTGGGATCTATTGCGACATATGGATATATTTGGAATAATGATAATGTTGCCAATGGCCCGGGTTGTATAATTTAAACATACTATCATTCACAAAAAATAATTTTCATTCATTTTTTTTTCATTGCATGGGAATTATAGCTGCGGCCCCCCCCAAAAAAACCCAGTAAACAAAACTTTTTGTTACTATTTTATATATTACCATGATTAAGTATAAATAATATTATTTTCAAATAATTAATAGACCAACCAAAAAAAAAAAAAAAACCCACTTCATATCTAATGTCTAAAAAAAATTTGTAGGCCAATAATTGTTTAAAATGAGAGAGAGAGGGAGGCTTTCCGGGACTAACACATGGTTGGTTCAATTTTATTTGAATAATTCGCTTGGGCGTAGGGGTCTTTAGTAGTGGGAGGATACCGGAGGTCTTGGAGAAAACCCAAGAGGTTGGACGTACAACCGGGGAATCGAAACCCCGTCAGTCCTATAATACTAGATACGCCATACGCAAAGTATTTATGGCTTTGGGGTTATGATGATTTATATAGGAGCCAAGAGTATTTTATATTGGGAAAAATCATTTTAATTTAGTAAGATAGATAGGCATTATCCAATAAGGAGTGTGCCACTTTGGCATTTTCAAATTATTTATATTATTGAAAGGGTCCATGGGACTGACATTTCAAATCTAGGCATCGTGTATTAGTTTAAAAGTTTTTAAATACTTTTAAAAATCAACAATAGTTTAGTCGAGATTAATCATTTGCATCAGAAATATCACATGTTTGTGACAATTTCTTAGTAGTTTCTGTTATCCAAAATACCATAAAACTACGAAATTCAAGCGATTTAGTTTATCGATACGCATTATTTCCGTTGAAGCCTGCGAGTAAATCAAATGCCAAGGTCACGAAAGCGACATGCAAGTTCAAGGCCAACCAACTGATACATTTCAAAACAAAAAACACGCAATAAACTTAATTATTTCATCTCTTTACGATTGACTGACCATGTGCAGACATTGTTACAACGTATGAAACCCTCCTCATTGGTATTGTAACGGCTAGTTCAACCTGGCAACAGTTTTCAATTCCGAAGCGTGTACGCTCACACCCTATGTGCCCTCACTGGAATTGTGCACTGCGCGAGCGCAAGCAATTTTAACTAAAATCTATTAAAATTGCATTTTAAGTTACAATCGATCTTCGTGAAACGCTTAAAATTTAAAATTGCATTTTGATTTTAGTTAAAATCTATTTTAATGATTTTAGTTTAAGTTTTTGTGAAACAGGGCCCTGGAACACAAATCTGATTTAGAGTCTAATGAAAATTGTCACAATTGTCAAGTAAATGCTATAATAGTTATACTAATAATTCTGAAGTTGGTATAAAATTAAATATTGGCGAAAACACATGATGCCTTCATCATTGGCAAACTGTCATAATGAAACCCCTTTCCGCTGTCACTAAAAATACAGTTTATGCTTAAATGAGATCACTTCTCAGACTTAAATTAAGAATTTACTGAAAATTGTATGAAACTTTTGTTGTTTTAATGTATGAAATACATCAATTAGAAACTATGTGCAAAGTTTTGTGTTTCTGGATCAAAGATATTTCTAATAAAGAGAGTGGTTTGTGAACTTTAAATCTATGTTTATATCACAAAGGTCTTGGTTCCTTTCGATAATCGCGCATATCGAAACGTAACTTCCTGGATTATGGTCCCCGATTGTTCCAAAAATCACATTTTTAGCTTGTGGACCCTCTAGAAGTAGAAGTCACAATTTGTATTATGTTTAAATATATCACTGTTACAGCCCAGTGAAGGTGGAGTTGAAATTTCATAAAAAGGGCCACTCCTTGTACGCAACTAGTCTAAAAGTATGTATTACCAAGGTTGTGGACCCTCTATAGGTCACAATTTTAATCTGATTTTGTTGGAACTTGAAATGTATGTTTATAACCCAAAGATTTCGGTTCCTTTTCAATATTCGTGCATATTGACCCATAACCTCCTGGATTGTGTGAAAAAATCGCTTTTTTGTCCCCCGTCTGTCTGTCTGTCTGTCACACTTTTTGGGACACAATTACTCTCCTTCTAATTGAGCTAGAATGTTCAAACTTTTTGTAGGTGTTTATTAGGTCAATGCCTTGTTGGAGTTCGTAGATGAACATTTTCTGCTTAGGGTAAGCAGAGATAAGCAATTTGATAAGTTGATGCTTTGGGACATGATAACTTTAATTCTAATAAAGTGAGAGTGAGGAAATTTGGTGTATAGTTTTATCACATCAATACCTTGACTGAGTTCGATAATGAGCATTTTCTGCTCAGGGTAAGCAGAGCATTAAGCAGTTTGATTGGTTGAGACTTCGGAACACAATAACTCTCCTTCTAATTGGGGTAGAATGTTCAAGCTTGGTGTAGGCGTTCATTAGGTGAATGCCTTGATGGAGTTCAGTGATAAACATTGTCTGCTTACGGTAAGCAGAGATAAGCAATCTGATTGGTTGATGCTTTGGGGCACAATGACTTCGGTTATAATTAAGTGAGAGTGATGGAACTCTGAGTATAGATTCATCATATCATTACCTTGACTAAGTTCGATGATAAGAATCTTCTGCTTAGGCTAAGGAGCGATAAGCAATTTGATTGGTCAAGACTTTGGAACATAACAACCCTGCTGGAACATAACAACCCTGCTTTTAATTGAGTTAGAATGTTTAAACTTGATGTAGATGTTCATTAGGTGAATGTCTTGACCGAGTTCAATGATTAACATTTTCAAGCTAAAGCTAAGCAGAGCTAAGCAATTTCATTGGGACAAGATAACTTTGATTCTATCTGATAGAGGGTGATGAAACTTAGTGTATAGTTGATAATCAGTTTGATTGCTTGATACTTTTGAAAAAAATAAATGTGCAATTAAAGATACATTATGGGAGATTTTTATAAGGAGTTAGCCATTTTTGCTATAACAGTTCAAAAATAGATGATGAAAGAAGAATAAATTGAAAATTTCAGTCAAATTACTTTATTCTGAACATAGTTATCACCAGTGTAATTTTTGACTAGAAATGGGATTGAATTCCATCTTCACCGATTCTTAGTATGGCCGATCGTTTGATTGACAGGCGTCAACTCCACATATACAACTGGCGGTAGTTTTTACTTTTGACAATTAAAATTTGTTATGGTACAGTTTCTAACATTCAGGACCGAAATAGACGGCGTACTTATCGACATACAT